CAATAAATGCTGCCTGAATAAGTTGCCAATTTGGCATGAGGTCTGAATTCGATTCCTAAATAAAACACTACTCCTAAACATCACCTAGTTTACTGGTCAAGCGTAAGCCAGCCCCCTGCTCCAAAAATGGGGAAGGTTAGGCACATAAGACTGGCAATCCAGCCCTCTAAAAAGAAACTTCATAGCTCAAAACTTGAAGCTCTGTGTTCCACTTGTGACGTAAGGAAATGAGAAAAGAGACAGAATAGTAGAAGACATATAATACTTGGGAGTACTGGACAGCTGCTTCCTCAACCTAGTCTGGGACTCCTCATCAGTACGCACTCACCGCCAGGGTTCAAACCCACAGCCTTTTGGTTACAAAGCCTGCGAGCTCGTAGACCACTAAGCCATTGGGAAAAAGGTTATAAGTAGTAATAAATATGACACCTGAGATAATTTAATAATTCCTATTCTAACATTAAGAAAACAATATTCAGAGAAGATACTCTTTTCAGTATATCGCATAGATATAATTTTTAAGCAATCATATCCCATCAGGAAATTTAAACAAAAGGTTTTAGTATTTTGGAATAATAATCTGAGTTGTGATTAAAATGTTTATTTTGAAGAGTTTGTTTGTAGGAATTAGATTTGTTTCGAGGTAGACCACGGATTGATATCAGTGAGAGAAACACCAAAACCCCCAGGGAGTATTAGACAACCGTTTCGTCCCGCTACTTTGGGACTCATCAATGGTACGCACTCGCTGGAATTTGTACCTAGGACCTACCAGTTACCAGGAAAGCTCATTGACCATTCAGCCACTGGGACCCCACTGGGGGCCCCTCCATGAATTCTAACTTCTACTAATTCGTGGTTTTAGCGCGACTGTCACCAGCCGGTATCTTCGGAGCGAGAATTCGTGCTCACTCCCAACCAGTCGGACCCAACGCCGTGGGTGAACTGACTGTATATCCCTTTCATGTATGAATTCATGAATGGTCAAGGTCTCTTCTGTCTTTCGAAGTTTGGTATGAAGAGAATGTGGCAATTAAACATGAATTTGATAGGCGATCACGATTGGTAGAGTGACATAAGTCAATCATGTGTCTTCAGATGCCCTTTTGTCACACCCTTTCCTTCTACCTTCTAAAGTCGTGCTGGTATGTACTGTCGTATCTGTATGGAAAGTACTGTCTGACTAAGACCCAGTGTACCATACTCCACAAGAGCAGGTGAACTGATAGATGCACATGTAGGTTACCGGATGGAAGAGCTCTTCTTTCAAAGAGAATTATTTGTCAAGGTTTTCTAATTTTATATTCTGTTGGAAAAGCATGAACACATTACTTCAATGCTATGCGTGTGTGTACGTGTGTCCATCCATATCGTTTCTTGCAATCATTTTTCCGTCAACAGACAAATGAACAGGTTCATTAGATTGAAAACGAAACAGAAGCAGAGAAATATGTTCATCTATTTATGGAGTACAATAATTTTTTTTACCACATTGTTCAGTTGAACAAGTTATTTATCTGATTTTCCCGCTAACTATTTACATCCGATTAACATATCCGATATTGCCTTAATCATCAATTTAGTGGTAAGCCAATAAAATATTCCGCAAAAAAAATACTGTCATTCAAAAAAACAACCAACAAATAGTTTCTTCATAAGTCAAATTCACCAGAATTCAGGTGGTTCGGACCTATTCGGATCTCTGAATACAGTCAAGCCGGGTACACTGCTGATTAGCCCGACTCTAAACTCTGATCTGGATGGCTAGGAAACACTACTGGTTTAAATGAGAGGTAGCACCGAACTACTCATATCAATTAGTCAGTAGCATATTTTGGTTGGACCAAAGGTAGTAACTGGTCTCTTGCATATAGTCCTTTGTCTGGAGAAGACTAAGTTCTATCAGTCAAGTTTGAAATGTGGACCCCGTGCTAGGTTACTCACCATGGTGGTACAGTCTGAATTGTTGTGACATTTTGGGAGGTAGCTGGCAGGTAGATTACGACCTAGGTTTCTTGCTTGTTGACACTCACCAGTCAGCAAGGCGTATCTGCAATCTTGAAGGAATTCATGTCCGTTCTGAGATTTGAACCTGGGTCACTGAGTGCTGTAGTCAGAGACGTTACCAGTGAGCTGTTTATTGCCTGCAATCATCGAACAACAGTTCAGGGCACACCTCATGATTGTGAGCCATCTAGCATGGTGACCATGTTGCCAACTGGACTAATAGACTTCAGTCTACGCCAACACCAAGGACTAGATGCGCGACACTAGTGTCCAATCAAAGCATCGATTACTGTTCCTTAGAATGTCACTCGCTAGCTTGAACAGCTGAGTAGTAACATCTGTGACTGCAACACTGGGTGATACGTATTCGAATCTCAGAAGGGACATGGGCTCCTTCAAGAGATTGCAGATATACGCCTTGCTGACTGGTGAGTGCCAACAAGCATGAAACCTAGGTCACGCAATACTTCCCCTTCTGACTGTCCCCAACCATGTGATAATAACCAGTAGTATAGTGCCTAAATAAGTAAGAGAAGAAAAGACTATTCAATGAATTATTGGGATATTTCCATGCGTGGTTAGTAGCCACAACTTTGATAGATAGTCCCATGCAAGCTCCAGCGTGAATTCCTTACAGAATATCGGTTTCTTCTAGACAAAAAAGTCGAAACACTCTTGCTAACCATGATTAGTAAAAATGAAACCTCAATATGAGATACACTTAGTCTTTCATATATTTTTAATCAAAATTACAAACTTGGTCAATACTAAAACAAGACCAAACAACATGAAACTATTTTTGACTGGACACTAGTCAGCAGCTAGTGTAGTATGTCTAGTCACATCTTTGGTGCAGACTGAATTCTATCACTCAAGTTTGCAATGTGACCACCATGCTGGGTGGTCTGCCGTCAAACCTGACTGATAGAATTTAGTCTGCACCAGAGAAAGGACTAGACACCTTACACTAGTTTCTGACTATTGTCCAAACAAAATAACATGCAATACAGTCCTAAAGGAGGTCAATCGCGAGCCCGAATAGCTAAGTGGTAACGCCTCTAATTGTAACACTGGTTGATGCAGGTTCGAATAGTAGAAGGGACATGAGTTCCTTCAAGGCAGTTGCAGATACGCCTTGCGGATGAGTGACAACTAGCACAAAATCTAGGTCGAGGAAGGCTTCCTGCCGACTGCCTCTAACAATCTAACACTAACATGAAACTACTTTTTCTCTCCCATAGTAACCAATCCAATAAAAAATGACTGAGACACTAACTAGTGACAATGATCAGCCATTACAATTCATTCTTAGATTTGCTGTGTATGGTGGAGTCCAGAAAACAAGTTTTGTCCTGTTTAGGAATTGGCAGACGTCTGTACCTTCACATCCTTGGTAAGTGATGGTGTTCGCAGTAGGATTCGGGCTTAATACCCATTACCTAAAACTCCGACGCGTTACCAATTGTTAGTACAACTACGGTTTTCTTCGAAAACACAAAATTTCATGTATTACCAATTCACCGCAAATAGTTAGTCAGAATTTTGTGTTTTGAGCTTATTCTGATATCTGATCTGGATGAGACCGGTCATACTGCTGATGACCTCGGTTTCAAACAAGTGAGACGACCATTCAGTGTTAGCCTCAGTTAGATATAACTAGTTAGGAAGCACCATTGGATGACATGACCGCTTTCCATCTACTCATATAATGTTCAGTAGTATTTACAGGCAAACAATAACACAATCCATATCATATTTATATCATGTGAATTAGTAACTATGCAGAAAATGTACATCTATGAGATGTGATCACAAAGACAGTGATGACCATTGGCATGATAACAACAACAGCGACAACGAGGAACTCGTGTAACAAATCAACCAAGAACATATTACCCCAAGAAATATGTATAAGGAGATGGAGATGTGTTTGACATAATACTGAGAAGACGATACACCAGACAACTCCTCAATTAGGACCTAGACAAAAAGCGACAAGTGGGACGTGGATCCTATTGAAACACAGAAAATTACAGCTGCAGAAAATGAAAGCTTGTAGGCCGTCACGAAGCCAGTTTACGTCATAATTTGCACACATATGGACGTAATGTCAGTCACCCTCGAGGACCATCTAGGTTCTACTGTCAGTTACCTCCAAAAACTAACTTTGAATTATTTACTAATCACTGTTCAAGGAGCCCAAATATTTCAGAATGAGGCTGATCGCTTCTGTCAGATACTATATCTGCGAGAAATTACACACATGATTAAATAATCATAACATTTTTTTGGTGATTATTTCCTTTTGTGGTGAAATATATAGCTTAATCGCCAGCTAACGAACGCTATTAGCGAGTATTTCTCTATACACCCTACCGGGTGAACCCCAATGACCATGACTTTTCGCCAAAACTTCAGGCAACTTCATCTTGTGATTAGTTATTCAAGAGCATTAGATTAATTTTCAGTAGATCCATTGGAGGCATATGATTGATTCCAAGTGTGATCACGGACTGACTTCATCTAGAACGTCGTCTGAAACCATTAAGGAGTATTGAACAGCTATTTCGTCTTAGTTATTAGGACTCTTCAGCAGTATACACTCATGAATCCACCTTCAAAGTTGTGAAGCACGCCATTGGGTTCAAATTTAATGGTTAGTCCATAATGTCAAACTTCTGCCAATATGTGATATGTATGGAGCAATCGCTAGAAAATGTCATGCGTGAGTATATCTCCACAAACCTTTGTTGGGTCATGGATGCATACTGAGGAGGAGTCCTCATGACTGTTCAGTACTCCCAGGTGGTTTTCAGTACTTATTTAACTGATTTTCAATCACTTCGTGATAAAAGAAATGTGGAAATCATTCAAATCTCTCTGTGATCTAGCACTGAAACTTTATTTCTTAAAATTTTCTTATTTTACTAATTCAAGTTTTATATGAGTTAATCATTTGTTCTGAATTGTTTTTCTTGTTTTTTCTTTTGCAGGCTGCGCTTTCGTTACATTCTGTCACAGGCAGTCAGCTTTAAAATGTCAAGACGCTTTACATGGTAAACAAACATTACCTGGGGTAAGTTGAGCTATTTGCCCTATTTACTTGTCGCAGTAACCGAAATAAAAAACTGAAATGTTAGTACAGAGTAAATATTCACCATGATTCTTTCTAGAAATATAGAATTATTTAGCCCAAATGTTGCTTGGTGGTTTGTCTGATACCATAAATAACATTAAAGAAAGCAAGTATGTACTACTGACTAATTGATAATAGTAGTTAGTAACCACGTACATCAGACACCTAATAGTGGTTTTTCTTGTCTTTTGGAACTGATTAAGCCGTCTACGCTGACTGTACTCCGATATACTGTTGATCAGCTTGGTCAAAAATTAGTGATACCCAACTGCCTTTGTCAACATTCAGGGATTTTTCATTGTATTAGTTCTACTTGAATAAGTCAGCGCAGAAGTCGGAAAGTTTATCCACGAGTATTTTTAGAGGTAGATGGAAATTTAGGTTTGAGTGACTTTAGAGCCCAGGAGACAACTGCTTGAAGGGAGTCACACACACAGGTAGTAAGAGTTGATATTAAGGTACTAACATCAGCTATGGATCACCACAAGAGGAGTCAGGGTGAACAGTTTTCGAGGTTAACTGTTTCTAGCCTTCACCTTACTCTGTAGTGCCGAAAGGCGCCAGAGCTGGTCTAGATGCCATCCCGGGGGAAACACCTCACCACCGTTATATCCACATATTCACTAGGAGTAGGACTTCACACTCAGATTCCTAACATACTGTAACATACACTATGGTGGTAACACTTTTGGAATGATAAGACTTACGTGAACATTCATTCCAGCCAGTGCAACTCATTGGGTAACTGAGATATGCAATCCTGACTACCACGACAAGGTAGCAGTTATCCGTTGAGTTGTCCATGAGATGCACAGGCGATTCATTTCACCCTTGGAACTTCCAAAGTTGATTGTTTTAATGATAATCTTTATAGGCTACTACTCATTTGTTTTTGGGTAGTCTGTGCTTCACTGGGTTTTGTACCTTTCTGCTGTTCACTTTCTAAAGGCAATCTTATCTAATAACTTCTAATGTCAGACATGAGCTTCTTAATTATAAAAATCACTATAAAACTTCGTGTATTACAGACTGACTGATATGAATAGTTGAATGGTACCCACATCAACCAGTAGAGATTGCTATCCAAATTGAAGTTGGTTTCCACTGCTAGCCACCATAAACCTGAAATAATACTATCCTGCTTGCTTAGACATCGTCAAAGTCTTCATTTTGGAAGTCAACGAGCAATAGGGAAACCAAGCAATTCTGTCCAAAACAAGTCAATCGACGAGAAATACAAACTTCTAGTAGTAAGTCGTAAGCAGCGGGGTCCGTCAAGTCAGATAACATACCAGTTACTTGCCTAGGACACAAGGTGGCAGTTGGGCTATATATACATCGCAAATTTGCAGAAGTTAGAATTCATTGGTCATTTCATAGAGTCCCAGTGGCTGAATGGTCTACAAAGGCCTTAGCCTCAGGACAGGAAGGTGCTGGATTCGAACTGCGACGGGTACGTACTGTAAAGAGTGTCAAACTGGGACGAAAAAGCTGTTCGCTACTCCCTAGTGGTTTTCAAGGGTTCTCTGCCTGACGTCAATTCATAATGAAACTTGTAACCAATCAAATTCCTGCCGATCAACACGAATTATTATCATCAGTGTGTGTGTGTGTGTGTGTGTACAACTTGGGCATTCTGTTGAAAGCAGTAATTCCATATCAAATTATTAATTGGATATATCACCATACAGTGAAATAGTGTTATTATTTACTGAATGACGAAGTTTCACTTATAGTTTATTGTTCATAGTCATATCATCAATTGTAACTCACACAACTGTGAATCTCGTCTTTTATAGTTCTCTTTCATCTACCCCATTTGTCATAAGGAAAGTAGAATTCTCCAGGTGATCAGGACAGGTATTGAACCATTCCTATTGTAAGTATTCTCAGTTGATTTGATCCTATCCTACTACTATGACCCAGGACAGAGTCAATTAGATTAGCGGCGCACATGAACCTAGCAAAATCTAGGTTAGCTGACCTTAACAAGAGAAGAAATCTAAAACATGGCTGAGCTTTAGCCTTACATTCATATATTGTGTTCCTCTAATCTAATAGACCCTGACGAATTACTTTCACCTAAGAATCGTTGCAGGACATTAGGTCAAATAAATTATGTTGTTTAACTAAGATAATTTGTGGTTAAGTGAATTTGTGGGTTTGAGTGATACTTTCATTTCTGCTTCGTTGCGAATTGAACTTATACTTCCTGATCAATCTGTCGGGGGTAATTATTAAGTTTCACATTTGACCATAGATTGATATCAGTTAGAGAAATACCGAAAGCTCCCAGAGAGTACTGGACAACTAGTTCGGGACTCATCTACGGCACGTACCCACCGGAATTCAAACGCAGGACCTCCCAGTTACCAGGAAAGCTTATTGATCATTCAGCCACTGGGATCTAACTCAATGGCCGCTTCATGAATTCTAACTTCCAACAGTTCGTGATTTCAGCGCGACTGCCACCAGCCAGTGTCACCCGTGGCGAGTATTTGTCCTCTCGCCTGACCGGTCAGACCCGACGCTGGAGGCGTACTGCCCATGAGTACCAAACAAGAACGAAACTGGTGTCAAGTACACCCTAGTTTTCAATGGTTCTCTAGCCGATATCAATCCATGATCAAACTGAGAGTGTTTTTGATGATAATTATTGTTAATTATCCAATTATCAGACAAAAACTGTCATGTTATAGAATAGTTCAAGGAACGTATAGGTGTTGGAAGGGGGTGTGAAATTATAGGATGAACGTTGCATAACATGATTTGAAATTCGACGGAGAGAATTTAATATCTATCACAAAGGAAGTGTATTGATTGGTCTAAAACAGTGAGTGGGACAAGTGAAATGAAACCAGAAGTTGTTCTGAGCCACAATAGTAATAATAATATAATAGTATTCAGGATGAGGTACGTAGGTTAACTGAATAAACAAAGTGAAAAATAAATGAATAAATGCTTATGCTTCCGTAACCAAAGTATACATCGACACTGTACATTCTTCTCTTGCATGAATTCATGAATGGCTAAGGCCTCCTCCGAAGAGAACACGGCAAGTTATCATGAATTTCATAGACAATATGAAAATCGTTGTAAGGGTTGGTAAACTGACGAAGCTGATCAAGCGTTCTAGAATAGAGCTTCTCACATCCTTCCTTTCTGCTTCTTAGAACCAAATGTAATTCATACGGTTTGAAACTATGAAAATGAAGTCGCCGTGGAGGAGGATTTTCTCCTCTGAAATATATACATGTATATAGTGACTAACCTGCTGTTGATGTTTTGTAGATTAGTTAAATGTGAAATCTTAGTCGTGGCAGATTATTATTCGTCTGATGTTGTAAATTGCATGGGGACTCGCTGCCGTCCAAAGCCAATTCAGAGATTTGATACCATGATAATTAGAGAGAAGAATATCAAAATTTTGATACTTCTAGTCTTTCTAGTGAGGATCTTGATTCATGATCGCGAACTGCTGTGATATACATCATAGTTTTTATGAAATTTCACCAGTGCGAGTTGAAATCCATTTATCAATTGACGGTAACTTGGAGGCATGTGTACTTTGAGATCATGGTAATCTAAGTGGATCTGTTAAACTGAGTGTGAGATTAGCTTGCCAACCATATCTTATTATTTTTATTCCTTTACGTTCCAAGTGAAAAATATAGGGTTTCAACGACAAATCTCCATTTCATCCTGTTCTCTGCATTCCTTCTTACCTGGCTTCGCGACCTCCTCACTATTAACCTTGGAACCGCGCTAGACGCATCTCTTTTCATTCGTGTTCCCCTCAGAGGCCTAGCATGCGACGCAACATAATATTCTCGGTAATATGTGTCTGAGTCATTTCTATCTTTATCACCATTTGCTCTCAGCTGGTCCGTTGCCAGACAAAGTTTATATTGATTATCATTTCCCGCTAACCATCTGATCTGGCAACTACTCCGCTACTATGGGGTGCCACCGACAATTATACATCTCATCCAACAGCTGTACGACAATGCTGCATGCCAAGTAATCCACAACGGGAAACTCACGGAACCCTTCGAAGTGAGGACAGGGGTAAGACAAGGCTGCCTACTAACGCCAATGATTTTCCTGATTGCAGTAGATTGGATAATGTGACAAATAGCGGTGGGCAATGAGGAAACAGGCATAAAATGGACTCACACAAAAAATTGGAGGATCTGGACTTCGCCGGTGATATATGTCTGATTTCCCGCAAACTGGAAGATATTCAAGCGAAAAGCAACAAGTTAGCAGAAGAAGCATCAAAGATAGGACTTCAGGTGAACATAGAGGAAACAGCTGTAGGTGATGAAGATTCCTGGACAAGAACAGTAACAACAGTCAACGATCAGCATAAATGGAAGGAACCTGAAAGAAACTACCTCCTCTGCCTACCTGAGAAGCATCGTTTCAACTGCAGGCCGACGGTATAAGTATAAAACTTGGGCACTGTGGTAGAGTATAATTCCATAATGGATAAGATTTTATTTTGATAAATCACACAGTGTAGTACAGTTATATTAACTGATGACGTTTCGAGCACAAACTATTGATATGATTATGAGCAATAGTTTGTGCTCGAAACGTCATCAGTTAATATAACTGTACTACGCTGTGTGATTTATCAAAATAAAATCTTATCCATTATGGAATTATACAGGCCGACGGGACTGACGAGGATATTGAAGCAAGAATCGGAAAAACAATACATGCTTTCATTACTCTCAAGTCTGTGTGGAGGTCAACAACTCTCAGCATCAAAAATAACATCCGGATTTTCAACTCCAATGTGAAGTCAGTGCTACTATACGGATCAGACACTTGCACTGCGTGTCATGAAGAGCATCTCAAACAAACTACAGACCTTCATTAACAATTGTCTTCACTCAATACTCAAGATCAGATGGCCAGCCAGAAAAGATCAG